AGGCATAGTCATAAAAGTAAGATTCATAGTTGTGTGCGTTGCGGGCTATTGTACTACTCGGTCGCCCGGTCCAGAGTAGGCCTTGTTCGAGGATGCACTCTAGCCTTTGCCCAACCAAGCGCTGACTACAAGGCAGCAGTAATATTCCAGATGAGCCGGTGGCCAGTAGTCGGTTCATTCGCCTCTTCTGGAAAACCTTGTCGAGCAATGGATCTCGACAAGGCAGAATACAAAAGTAAACCTATTTTAGATATCACAGATGTTGATAATCCAATATGGTTCAAATCTATGCAGCCCTAAAAAGTGTAAATTTAAGTTAATTTGTCGCAAAACTTGAGATCGTTTGCAATCTCGTCCTCACTAATTTGCTTTGGACAAGATGACTCAATTTGACACTTCCATTCTCTCTCTCTCTCTCTTTCTCTCTTAAGATCTCCAACTCAGTTGCTATGCTGGATACACAGACAGAAATTGGTCCGAAACAAACGGATAAAACTCTCGATTCCGGCGGGTCTTTGGGACGTGNGACTCGTTTGCGAATTCGGTCAGTGTGTTGTATCAGGCTGCGAGCCAGCGCTGTTTTCACACGGTCCAGGTAAGCTGGCGAAAATGCTGCGACACCGTCCGGGGCTTGGTGCGATGGCGTTGATAAAATGTTTCCTCAGCCATCTGCTGCAACTGAAAATCTTTGACTTCGTATATATATATATAATGATAAGTAGTATGTGAATGACGTGACAAAATCGCCCCGGTTTCATTTCATTTCATTTCATTTGGATAAAAGAGCAAAATGAAGATTGAAATGTTGAGAACAGGGTCAGAGAAGCGATAGAGAATTCAACGGGACTGGGTAGATGCACGAGCGACAGTTTGCAACACCCAGCCTTATCACCCAGTGTCTCCAACCAACAGTGACCACGATCTCGGGGTCCCTAGCCAGGAAGCCTACCAGCGCCTATGTGACCTAGTGTTCTGGTTAGGGTTTCCATACCCTCGTGCCATGACTTAGTTTGACCACCCTTTACATTTTTCCAACCGCTTCCTGTATCGGCAAACATCGCTCGCCGTGGCAATCTATCTTTTTCCATTTTTTAGTTCCTTTTTATTGAATATACAAAGATACAATTTTCAGGAAGGTGGAAGCGGCCAATCAAAGGGCTGCCATTCAACACACAATGGGGCAAGTCAAGCGGTAGTGGTGGGATTTGAACACATCCCCGGGTTGATAATTTGGTGACGTTACCACCGGGCCACCACCGCCTGATGACATACGCAGTACATGTCCCAATCAGTGTAATCTATGAAGGTCGAGCACTTGTTCCAATACATTTCCGCGATTACCCAAAACTCTACGCCTAACCTCAGCATTGATCGTCCGGCTGCCGCACCAGATTCATGCAATGAGACGTAGGCAGCGCTGTTCGAACATCGACAATCTATTTTCATCCTCTTCCCGTAATGGCCAAGGATAAAACTAGATTTTTACCGGTGCAGGCATTGGAACAACTCGCAGTGATCGTCACCTTTTTCTGCAAACTGGTTTTCAAACGAGCCTTTGCATCTCTCTCTCTGTGCGTGAAGTTTTACTTCCAGTTTCAACACACCATTCGTTTTGGTTTTCCCTTGACCTTCATAGGTTGTACATGCACTTTTAAGCCGGCTCGGGGAATACAATCTGATGAGCTTGTCCAATTCAACCTTTATTGAATTCTCCTAGATTTCATGTTTTAGGCATAAACCGAAAGAAATAATATCTATTTTATCCTATGTGATAGTGCTAATTTTAGTTTGTTCTTTTATATAAAATGGTGATATTGATTGGACCGGGTAGATCACTTCGAATCTAGGATTTGGTTATTCACGTGAAGTAATGTTAATTCTTTCTCTGTATCTAAGTGCTAAATTTTTTGTCAACTGCGCTGAGTCCAACGCAGTGGCGAAATGGATAAAACAAGCTGCGGTTGTTCGTCGAATTTTTGGCAATTTGTTCACCATTCTGTTCAGTGTGAAGATTCGGTCCACAAAGCTTTGTTCGCCTTCACTTGGCCCGGTGCGGTGATCCGTGATTGATACGAAGTGATTCAATAGGATTACCGCAAAGAGTTTGGCAGCCATGCCGTTCGGGCCGCGGACTATTCTGTCGCCTTGTGAGGGGGATGGAGACCGGAATAGAAATAAACCAGTTCTCCCTGGGACGGTCTCGATTTCCCATTCAACGGACTCTTCCTTGTAGGGCTAGTGCTTAGAGAGAGTTAAGTGAAAGTCTTTCCTTTGGACAAGGTATAATTGAACTCTATGGCCTCCGCGAGTTCACATTTTCCGATGTGTCTGGTCCTGGGAAAACTGTCTGAATAGATCGATCTAATGAGGTTATTCGAATGAAATCTGTCATAGCATATAGACTTGTACCGTATGTCGAATTGGAACAGCGGTAGATCTGTAAAGCTTCTGTACTGTATTGGTTGTGCTTAAAACATTGGACTCTCTGAGCCTGGACATTACTAATGTTCACAGCCTCCAGGTGCCGACCGGATGCACACAAATCGGTTCCAATCAATGGCATTAGTGTAGGGCATCTACAAATTGACAAAGTCGAAATCGGACAAATTCCTCGGTGCTGGTCACGTATGATCCTTTTCAATCCCAGACCCCAGGTCTTCTGTGGTTAGCCACTCCACGTTCTGGGCCATATAAAGGTTCACAGTTCTCATCAGCGAACAACAGATTCTCTTGAACCTCGGGTTGATTTCGTCTGCTATTCATCACATATCGGTATGTAAGTAAAACAACATTTCAGAATCTGTAAATGTGTGGCACGTGCGTGATAGTCTTGTCTGATGAACTGAACAGCGTTCCCTAGATGTGTGGGATTAGGAAAAGCTCGGGTAACGTTGTTCTAACGTATATGGCGCGTATTCCTGCTCATCCGGATTCCAACCATCAGTTCGATTGACGTCCTGGCGACAATAAACCAGCCGCGCAGTGCTTTTTATACTCTTTAGTGGCATATGTGATGTGCAGATATTGCATAGTGAACCACTTTTTAACCCTTCAATCGCCGGTTACCCAAATGAATCGTCTTCATGTCTAGGTCGATCATACCACTATTGCAAGCTTGGAGTTACATTGCCGTGTCCGTCTGGGCTGTAGTCGAACACAACCAGCCGCGTCCGGTCCCAGTGCTGCACAATCACTCAACCGTGGACAGCGATTCACGAATCGAGGTGGATTTCTACCCGATCCTGTTCTAGATCCTGTTTGTTTGGCCGCAATCAGTCTTCGTCAGCCAGGCGGTATCAACGATTTGTTCGTACTGATTAATCGCGATACTTTACCCGGTCATTCCACTGACCAAAATTCGGGGCACATGGACTCAATTTACTATCGTTTGCGCTCGACCACTGTGTTCACATCCGGTCGAAGTCGATCCGGACCCAAACCCAGATGGATCTGGTGTACAGACGAACGGTCTTTGTTTAATTGGATAGTCTACCTCGTCCAGTGGTATGTTTCTACGCAAGATATTTCTTCATTTTAATAGTTTTCCAACCCTGTAGATGAATGCCTGGTTTTACTGGTGTGAGACGTTAAGCGATGAGATAGAGATTATTGCTTAGTAGTATTTTTCTCTTTCGTGCTTGAATGGCATAAAATTTTGCAATCGAAACTTGTCTGAAGTCATTCCATCACGGATTGGAAACTAACTTACCGAGAAATTCCTTGCTTTGTCCTGCTATTGTTTCTATCCAAATGCCCCGCACCGACTGGGCTTAGGTTCCCAGTTTCCATCACCAAACAGCAGGTCCTCCTGACTATGGACCCTATGGTCCGAGGTTCGAGCCCCGCCACCGCCACCCGACTTCGGTGGTAGGCAGCTTTGCTGTCGTCCGGTTCAATACCACGTCTAACCTATCGGGGCCTTATGTGGTTCGCCACTCCAAGTTCCGGGGCTTGGGTCGCCGATTTCAACCACCGAACAGCAGGTCCTCGTGACTATGAGGTTTACCCCGTCTGCTGTTCATCACACCTAGGTGTGTAATAAAAAAATTTGTTCTCCATACTCAATATCTGAGTGCGATACACTCACTCATTGTTTATTCTTTTATTTACTCATCCACCTTACAGTTCCATTCATTTTCCTCACCTGTTATTTTCACATTTGTATGTCAGTTTCGATCCGGAAATTCTCGTGGGCTACGATGTGGAACGGGCATCATGGGGCTATTTGGTAGCTCGGGCTGCGCATATGCAACGCCAGTCGTATGCTCGAGAGTTGTCTCGTCTAGCACCCGGTATGTGTCTACTCGCGCACTCTAGCGACATAATCTCTGTATTTTTTCCTTTTTAAATGCGGTAGAAATCTTTGTGGTGACCGACAAGATCACTGGACAGTAATTTTGTCTTGTTTGGTATTCGTTGGCAGTGCGTACTTTTTGTTTCCCCGTCGGGACTCGAACCGAGAACCTTCGGGTTGGGACTTCAAACCCTTAACCCTGAGCTACACGATCGACTGTCATAACCTCATGCAAATGGCTCAATCAACTTTCCTTGAATTAGCCCTCTCGGAATTGACGCTCTCCCAAGGAGTTAAACCCACATCTCAGATCATGAACAATGCGCGGTGCCTGTAAGAAAACGAATGGTTTATCCAAATACTCCCCGTCTAAAGTCAGAGATGAAATTCATTTTGATTGAGTGTTTTCTTTTATCCAATTACATGGTGTAAAGTATAATGCTTTTCCATTAGTCCTGCGCCGATCTATTTTACCTTGGAGATAGCTCAGAGTCATGGCGTTATTGCGTACCTATTTCAAAGAGGCCTACTCTCACGCTGGATGACAGAAGTGCTGTGCAGCTACAACGAAATCGGAAGAGAGTGGTTATCTCTTCGTTCAGTGGTAATCGGACGCCAAGTTGTCTAGGTCTCTATCTGAGTTTGACCGACGTATTTTCATTTAGCCTTCTGTGTTTATGACAACTAAGAACAATAACAATTTCCGTCGTGATGGAACTGCGGCCAATGAACGGTTGCCTGGAGGTCACAGTTCCAACTGAATGATGTGAATCGGTCATCATAGCGATTTACAAGGAGGGTGACAGGTCCTCTTGTGAAACCACAGAGAGAGTAGACAAGTTTTGCTCTTTGGGCAGCTAAATCTCACCTGGCGCAGGCATCACAGATGAACTGTCGGCTGGCACACAGAAGGCTCGGTTGGCATTTACCAACTTCAGACACCTGTGGCTCCGTCGCGACATCCGGCTGTCTGGGAAGGGTCGAGTATATGGTGCAGCAGTTCTGCCAGTGCTGCTCTACATTACAGAGACTTAACCATTTCGATATCTACATCGCATTTGAGGAATCTGGTGGGTAAACCGGACAAGCAATGCTGAGGTTAGGCGTTCACTGGAGCAAGTAGTTGACCTTCAGAGATTACGCCGGTTGGGACATGTGCTGCGCATGCCATCAGATAGGTTACCACGGCGAGTGATGTTTGCCGATACAGGAAGCGGTTGGAAAAATGTAAAGGGCGGTCAAACTAAGTCATGGGGCGAGGGTTTGGAAACCCTAACCAGAACACTAGGTCACTAGGTTCTGGTAGGTTCCCTGGATGGGGACCCTTCAGATCATGCCAACTGTTGGCTAGAGACACTGGGTGAAATGGCTGGGTGTTGCAAACTGTCGCTCGTGCATCTACTTAGTATCCGTGCAACCTCATTCTATATGCATTTTCTATCTCTTCTCTGATCCAGCTCTCAACGTTTCACTCTTCATTTTACTCTTTTATTCGAATGAGCGGCCAATAGATAGCATGCGAACTCGGCGCATTAAAATGCATGGTTAAAGTTGTACAAACTCAAACTGAAACTGGAGGTCACGGTCTTGTCTGGAGACACAAGTCGAAACCTGATCACCATTTATTAAGACGCAATAAGGAATATGTATTTCACGCAGAGTCGGTATTCAATCAGTCGGGTCGTAAGCTCTTTATATCTGGGATGAACCATGTTTCCACGCCATTACTCAATTGAACTGGTGATTGTCTTGAACAAAGAGTGTTTTGAAACGTGCTGACTCACTTCAACTAAACGAAGTAGCTGCACAAGGCCTATCAACCTCAATAAAATCACGGATTTTGGCTATTCCCATACTAATGGAATAAAAACAAGGTCTCTAATAGAATGCGACGCATAAGTATTTCAGACCAGATTCTTCAAGAAACGCACTCTGTAAGAGCGTTTCTTGGAGGGGAAAACGAGACCTTACCTTTAGAGAAACCGGCCCCCTTTCTTTACTCATTTTAGTTACTGGACACGAACTCAATTTGTGGGATTCGGTTGGACGTGCGGTGAAGATACATTTGCTGTCGAACCCACGTTTCTTCGATTCTTGCGGATATCTTGTGCAAGATTTACCAGTAGTCGGTAATCTCAAAGGAAACAAGTCTCTCTGTGAAAATATGGAAGTTGGAATATTCAGGTGCAATAGTGTGAAAAAATATGGCTAACAGATTGCTGGATACATTGGAACTTGGATTGGTGTGCAAAGCAGTCTCTCGGTTTATGGATAACAGGTGAAAAGTTAGTTAAACTTTATGCGCGCCGGGTAGAGTGTAGTGCTATTAATCTGAGCATGTCTTCGAGGAAACAAATATTCAATTTTGGTTGCGTGTGTGTGTGTGTTTGTGGCTGAACACAGTTTTGGTGGACAAGATTCGGTATTAGACGGTGGTCTTTTCGGAAACTGGTCATAGACGTCATTTTATTTGTCCACACTAGCTTCGAGAACAAACTGACACACAAAACACCACTGGCGTTGGAGAAAGCTTTGAGGATTCTGGGAATGCAGCTGAAATGATTAATCCAGAAAAAAAGAGTGTGGAATAGCAAAACCATTGAGACAAAACGCATAATCATAAATTAGGTGCGAAGGGAGGTGAGTGGAGGCTAATTGTGTAGAACTGCTAGCTGTCTGAGTCCAACCACATTGAATGCTGGTTCGCGATC